GGCTCAACTTGTCACACGTCTGTTGGTCTGACCTACATATGTTGGAACATGGAATTTCATATATACCCTGGGATTAATTGATAATTTTGTACTTGGGGGGAACGGAGGAATGTGGAAATTTGATTGTTAGCGGTGAATATCGTTTTTATGTTCTGTTTATTGAGAATTCGGGCAGTTTTGTCAGTAACACCTTTAATCTCTGGGATCTCTGGGACTGGATGGAAAAGTTTGTTAACGACGGATGGATTTGTCAATTTGATGGTCTGTAAATCCATTTTGAAGAAGGCCAGCCCTTGTGAGGTTGGCAGATCTGTGGATGAGATAATGCAAAACGGAGTTGGTTTGTGCTGGATGATTGTGGGAGTTTGCGTGTGTTGGTTTCCTGTAGACCCTGTGGGTAAAGGAGTTATTGGATTTTGTGATGAGGACATCTAGGAATGGAAGGAAGTTATTGGTTTCAATTTCCACTGTGAACTTTATATATGGGTGGAGGTCGTTGAGGTGATCAAGGAAATTATGGAGTTTCGGAGCCGTGGGGCCATATGACGAAAACATCATCTACGTATCTGAACCAGCAGGAAAATTTGTGGTCGAACGTGACAAATTCCTTGGGATCGAAGTCTTTCATGAGAAGGTTTGCAAGGACTAGTGAAAGAGCAGAACCCATGCAGCCACCCTTTACTTTTTTGTAAAAGGTACCTTAGAAGAGGAAGTTTATGCTGGACATACAGTGACTGATAAGGTTGAGGATGCCTTTGGAAATTTGGTGTTTTATTTCAAGAATGTTCAATGTATCTTATATGGGGATATTTGTGAATAAAGACTCTACGTCGAGACTCACAAGGAATTCAGTCTGTTATACTGAAGTTTTTGAGGATTTTAATGAAGTTAAATGCTCTTACGTATAACGTGGACTGTTCTACAGGGGGTTGGGAAGTGTTTGCAAGGTGTTTAGCAAGGTCTTGTGCTGGATAATCGAAAGCACTGTCAATGGGGCGAAGAGGAACCCAATGTTCCATTGTCTGACACTGACATCCCTGCGAGTTTCGACTCAGCTTGAGAAGTACTTCAATTTTGAAAAGATCAAAATATTAAAATATGAGAAGGAAATATCTTGGGCCATATTTGACAAAACGGGTTCCTATCTTGAAGTTATTTATCACATTAGAAGTTTAACCATATCTGTGACGGTCTGAAAAGCAATATTTCAAACTCTGCAGCTGAACAATGTTCGATAAAATATGTGATTATTTTCAGGAAACAATGGCGCTAAAAATAAATACTCCACCCGCAGTGATTGATGCCTGTTTTTCAATTCAAGGTTCCATTTTGAATTCGGATTGATTATATGACCGATAGCAATCTTTATATGCATTAACACGTGTGTAAATTGATCTTGTTAGTGTTTTTCGTGTTCTGATTTTATTATGATAGACTACAGTTTCTGCGTATAAACAATGAATAGCCGTGAAATTGACAAGTTCCGCTTCTGTCAATTAAAAGGGCGTGTCGCCTGAAATCGTCAAAAATTCCGTAGTCTAGTTTTTTTAGCATCGATTGAATATTTAACGTGTATGGTCAATGTCCTGTTCACTGGAAACATTGTTTATTGATTTAAACAGAATGCGCAGTTGTATTTGTAATAATATTTTCCGTACCAAGTTGCTACATATCGAATTCTAAAGGACAGTCTTAAATAACTTCAAAAAGTATGTAAACGATTTTATTTCTGACCGGGATATTATAAGCTTATATCGTCATAGTTACGCTATCAATAAAGAGGGTCATAACTCCCTTGGGACATTATAGATTTTATAATTCCCTCTACCTTTCACAAGTAAAAATAAATAGAAATGAAAACTGAACCATATTTTATTTATTCACGTCATTACAAATAATAAATGTACAATTTTGAAATGTTCCCTGAAAATTACTTCCGCCACTGGAAACAATTTCTTCTTTTGTATGGCTGGAGCTTCTGTTCACTACAGTCGAGGTACCTGCCTCTTCTGATGACAAAGTAGACAACATACGCGCCGTTTTATTTCTCAATTCGATGCTATCCTCCAAATACCCCTCCGCCACCGTGGAACTTTTCCAACCTCCGTGTCTTTTTAAGTTAGTCATAGTTGCTCCTGCATTGGCTAGAGCA